TCGTTATCATACTGCCACCGCTCAAGAAATTATTTACTTTTCTTATTATACAGAAATCCTAATCCGAATTATAATTATATCGACAGATTACGAGCAATTTTCAACGAACTCATTTCAATAATTTTTTTAATAGTTCTAAATGTTTCGTTCTGGACTGTTTTTTTCTTTTTTTACCTGCTCGATATTTTCCTCGTCTAAAGCTTATATCAGGTAATCCAATATAATTTTATTACTTAAACTAAGATAACTGATGACTAATATTCTCTGAACTCACGTCGCATCGTTCACAAATAATTAGAATTATTTTATTGCTGTTGATCGAAGCAGAGATAGAAGCCTACTACACCAGCTATAGAAAAAGGTAAGCGTCTTACGTTCATTCTTAATTATCTATCTTTATTGTATTAGAATTCCAATCAAATTTAACTTAAACTATCCTTTTCTCCTCCAGTTAATCACATCCAAATCTCATCACTCGCCAATCTACTTACAATTCTTTAGGTCATTCCCTGGTAAAGGCTTAATAATAAGTATTCGAATTTTAAACATTGAAATTTTCGTTATCAATTTGTCGGATTTATCTAATATTCCTTGGTTACGTCAAATATTTTGGAGAAAACATAGTCGCTTAATCCTACATAAAAATGCATACTTCCATTTTCCCTGGTCGACCTCGTCTCGTCCCCATCCTATATACGACGTATCGGTTGGGAATAGCAATTCGCATATAATATTCGTTCTGCCAGTCTTCATTATTCGCGCGAGAATGAATTTCGAATGTCCTTATTGATCAGATAAAGAAAGTCCATTTTAAACAGACGTCGCCAGACTATACGATCTCGTATACCGAAAAATTATGAACTAACCAACGGTATAATATTATTGTCAAGTAACCGTTATCGAAATACACTAGCGTATGAATATATTGTTTATCCATATTATACATAAATATATTTTATTACTGCATTAATATATTATGTATCTACAACGAATAAAAGCGTACCAAGTAACGATGTTTATCAAATTCTAATATGTATTGATCGCAATATGTGCAAGCATGTCATCCCATTATCGTCAATATCATTCATATTGTTTTCAATAAAGGGAGTATTATATTCGCAATGGATAGTCGAAACGAAAAGAGCAATTCTAAAGAGGAAAGAATACAATCACAATTTTATATTTGCAAAATTTGTAACAAACATTTTACCTCTATGTTTCCAATTTTATTTTAACCCAATGTTTTATATTCGTATAAACTCATAACTCATAAATTTAGTGGCACCTCTTTATCTTCGATATATATATATATATACATTCAACCATGATTCCTCCAGAGACTCATCAAGGTTTTTTCCACTTTTATTTTCTCCAACTCTCGTAATCAATTCCAAAACTTTTTATTTAAACATCGGTGAGAATAATCTAAGGTATTGAAAATTCTATAAAGTTTCGAATATAATTTCGATAATTTTAAAAGTAACACATGAATAACTGATGAAATTCTACATATACATAAATATATATATATATATATACATCTCTTATATCTTATAAAACTTGATCCGTTTATGCAATAGTTAATAGTATTATTCAGATCGTCGATTTACCACAATTGCGGTCTTCTTAGTTCATTTTCATTCTTCAACGATAAGCAACGAACAAAGAGATAATAAGGACTAATATGATGAAGTCTAGAATGGGGTACGTTTGCCTGAAGCTGGTACTGATAAGAAATACAATGTAAGGGTACGGAGAATGTCTTGGAGAGAGAAAGGAGTTTGTAACTGACTAGAGAAAGAAAAAAGAAAAGATAGAATGAAAGAACGAGATTAAGATAAGAAAGAATCTCTATAGACTGAATTAAAAGAAAATAAAAAGAAAAAAAAAGAGACAATTTTTGTTGGCGTCAGATAATTAGGGGTACTTGACAGATAAAGATAAATGATCGCTGATTTTTCTTAAATAAGTAATAATGAAAACACCTTATTTCTCTCTCATTTCTTCAATGTCACTTTCTTACATTACGACTTAGTATTCCACGTGCTAAGCAACGATATAGTAAACGTTTAAGTCCAGCCGAGTACAACGATCTACCTTTATCTGGAGCATGCAGGTTAATATATTCTGAGAGCAATCATTGCGGTACCTTGTTGTATGTAAATCACCACACTCCCTAGTGGAGATAGATCGTTCGAGGTTGCATCTATCTTTGTTATCCTTCGAAAAAAGGATATTGCACAAACGAATTCGCTATGCCTATGAAAAATATTGTTTGTTGTATTTGTAGCAAAATCAAACGTTTTGAATACATTTTTGTTTTGCCATATGATAACTTCAAAGGATATATTTCTTTCCATATTCAAGAGAAAATCGTATGGAAATTATTATTGTATATATTATGGATATGTATGCTGATTATAACGAAGAGTTAATGTTACTTGTACACGTTAAATGTAATATACCACAAAGCTGTAATCATAGATTTTTTTATTTTTATCAAAGTTATAGAAAAATACCTTATATGGCAAAAAATGCAAATTTAGTGGTATCGATTTTTAAAATATAACGACGTCAGATTCTGAAAACATTTAAAACAAATGATGGGATTTATAATCATGATAAATACATGAGATATGAACGATTGGAATTCGTATTATACCATCCTACATGCATGTAACAACCATCTAAAATAGTAATACTCAACTGTTTACTACTTCGTAAATGGTCAACATAATTTAGAATTAATGTTAACGGAAAGTAGTTATGGACGTAGAGATAGAGTGTATGGATGTGTCATGCTTTTGGTTTAGAGAACTTTTCCTTGGTACTAAGAAATGTCAGACAAAATGAAGCCTTTGATCGTATTTACGACGTGACACATAAACCATCGAACGGATAAGTGAATCGTCCGCGTTAGGAATGCCGCGAATAGTTCTTATTTTCTCTATATCAAGAGTCTAGGTCCTTAAAACAAGTATAAGGCGATGTAGCAGTAATGGATCTCACTTCCAACCTAATTCAATCTAATCGTTAGTGAGGCATACCCATGTATGGGGACTGACAAGACGAACCAAGCAAGTTTGCTTCTTTACGAAGGATGTACGATGTTCAGGAAGGAAAGATTCAAGATAGTTACATGTGCTTGGTGGAGTCGTGTTTGACTCCAATGAATTCCTCTTGCGCCCTTGTTAACGGGCTAGCCAAGACAAGACCTTACAAACACCTAATATTAATTTCCTTAACCTTTAAATTATTTCTCCAAATTTATTTTAAAGATTTATACATATTTTTAATTACATATTTATATCATTTGTATTCTCCATTATATAACAAATATAAATCACTTAATAATAAGAATGGTACGAGCGTATACAACAAATAGGATGAACCTAAAAAATATATTCTCATTGAAATGAAAAATATTTCACAATTAACAATGAATGTTGAGTAATAAACCAATACGTACAACTTTTAATTACCACTGCAAGCACTTTCGCAATCTTCCTTCGTCAAAAAATTATTTCCATTAGCTTGGCACCCACCATAAGTGAATTGTTTACATTGTGACCCATCAAATGCCCATCTCGGCATGGCTGCTTTACACGGGCCGACTTTTACGGGCTCATTACAGGCTGGTAAGCATTATAGTATATACATATGTAGTGTGATTTGTATTTATGAAAAAAAAAGAATTTATGTTACAAAAGTTTTACTCATTTATATATTCAAAGTATAGTAATAAGTCAACGACCTAACACAATATTGAATTACTAGTTCCCTTTAAATTACTAAATTAAAGCAACATGGATACGTTTAATAAAATGTATGGATGACATGTTCGGAAAAATAAAAACCGTGTGCTGTTAATTCCAAAAAAGTGGTAAAAAGATGCGACATTTTCCGTAGTATTGAATATGTTTGAAAAGATGTTCATAGAGAAATAATTCAAAAAAGGAAAAAATACGTACCACTGTTAACAGCTGAATTTTCATAGAAAAGAGAACAAATAAGAAATAGGCATAGCACTAATACTTTAGTTTTCATTTTGAAATTTTGTCCTACTTGATTTAAAATTTTAGAACAGAGTTGCAATCTACGGATACAATCGCCAAACTGACTTTTGTTAACTGCGGGTTTATTATCTGTTTTCTCTTATTTATATATACTGCAGTTGAGCCATAAAGCAGTATGGTATTCCCACTTAAACGAACACTAAATATAGTATTTGTATTCGCAATTTTATCTTTTCTTATATTTACATTGATGACGTATAGAATATGTACTTTTTTAATCAACAATTACACTCATTGGCAATAAATTGTTGTTATATAACGTAACATACGGGAAGCAAAACTACACATTTTCCACGAACTTATTATTCAGTTATTAACATAATCATTTATTATTCAAGGCCAATCGGTGATTATCAATATTAGTTTGATAATTTGAAAAAATCTACCGGATAAGTAACATTGAACGTAATCTTATATCTTTTTTATGATTCTTTTTAAATTATATCTGTTCAATTTGTTTATAAATTAGATGTAGAATGAGGGCGACTATTTTTATTGTAGATATTAATAATAAACATATGCGATTATCGTAAATGCACGTTATAAGTCAATATATAAAATACTTAGTAGAAACAACTCTATTATCTCTTTTATCTATAATTCTTGAAACGTTCAACGTACAACGTTTATAAAGTCATTAAAAAGATATTCTCTTATAACTCTTTTACAGTTTATTAATTTCATATATATTCAAAAATTGTTCTCAGTAATTTAAATAAATTATTTTTAAACTCATTAATATAATAAATTTATTTATAATTGTATCCGAAATATTTTTATATAAAATATATTTATCATTGATTTCAAAAGATTTGTAAATACATGTACATTGTCACGCTTAATATTATAAATCTCTCATTTTTCAATAAAAATAAATATATTAAATAACAATAATAATAGAAAAATATTCATATAATATCTTGTACAAATTTATTTGCTTCTCTCTGTCTCGTTTATTTATAAAATCCTCGTATTCCTATCTATTAATTATAATTTGCATTATTTGTTGAATACCACACTACTCTAAAAAATACATGAGATTACATCATAATAAATGTTCGTTTTCTCGAGTTGAAAAATAATTTCCAAGATTTGTTAACAAGATTTACATATTTCTAACACATATTTGTATCATTTGTTCTTTCATGAAAATAAATATAGATTATTTATTGCAAATAGGAATGCTATAGCAATCAGCACCTAAAAACAATAATAATACAATATCACTTGCTGAAATGAAAAATATTTTATTATTAAATGAAAATGATAAGGAAATAAAATATACATACCACTGTTAAATGTAATACGTTTTTTCACATTCTTCTAGCGTGATAAAATTATTCTCATAAGGTTGATATCCACCGAAAAAAAAAAAACATTAAATATTTTTCTTGATATGCATTGTATGCCCATCCAGTCATAGTTGTTTAAAATATAGGCCAGTTGTGATCAGACGATGACAAATTAGTTAGACACTGTAATAAGAAAATATAATAATTTATTTTTGTAGAAAAATACAATAGATTATATTGAATATTTTTATATTTATAAAAAAAATAGATAAATGATTAATAGAAAAAGTATTAATCTTATGACTTTTATCTTGAAATATTTTTTCTTGATCTAAGATTCAAAGTTTACTTGCAATATGTCAATGCTATCACTAAAATGACTTTTATTTAACTACGAGTCTAAATAGTACTTCTCAAATGATGTAAGCAGTTCTAGATTTCTATTTAATTATTAATGAGCATTAAGATTTATATACAAATTCATAATATTATTGCTAATATTTATGTATAAATAGAATATAAAGTATGAACTCTTTAGATCATTTATGTTTATGCTTATTAATAAAAGATTGCAGTGTTATGCAATAAGAAAAAAATAAAAATTTATTTATTCAAATTATTTATACACTAGACATAACATATCTATAGGAAAAACAAATACAGGAAATTATTACATTCCTTTTATTTATTATTAATATATTATCATAATTACACTTATAATTAAATTATTTTACCTATTTAATAAAGACATGTAAGTAAAGAGTTATGTTAACTGAATGTAAATATGAAAACAAATTTTATTTTCTAACCTCAATACTCCTTACAAAACTGTTTTATCGGGATTCCAGACACTGACTACTCTTATTGTAAGATTAAAGAATACATAAAGTTCACAGGTCCATTTTTCTCATAACAAAATTCATTTTTGTTAGTACCCTGACCATCAGGAGGCGCTAGTAGATACTTGACGCGAGACGGTACACTATCAATAAATGATACAATACTATCAAAGAACGGTACAAACCATCAAAGAAAGGTGCATTATCAAATAACTTTACAATACTATCAAAGAATATAGTATTTTACCTATCCCCCACTAGTGGTCCCGGTGCTAACTAACTAAGTGAACTTCTTATATTCTTTGAAAGTAGTAATACTTTACTTTTCTGATCTCTTAAAAAATAACTAGATTTGTATCTCTTCATATTAATAAGTAACTAGCGACTACAACGCCTCTTCACGCTTATAACTTATAACTAGACTGCTTTGAGTTTGGAAACTGTAAGAAACTCGCTTAACCTGTTCATGCTGTCACAGAAGATTCAAAGGTTTAAAAACAATTATAAAACTTAATTCAGTTTATTATTTAGTATACGATAGTGCCATAAAAAGTGCATATGAGGAGGTATAACAGATTTTACGATTGATTCATATTCAACTTTATATGATTATACTTGATCCATCTCCAACACATAACCTACTTATAGACAAATTTATTTAGACTTTAATTTGTTATTATATTTATTTTCATTTTATGGTGAAATTATTTTATCGTTTTATGCCATTATATTTATTTTCTTTTGATTATAATATATTTTCAAATAATTTCGTATTTATATAAGAATTTGGTGAATTTTGCTGTGAAATCTACTTTGTCAGAAAACTGTGTTTTTATATAGATTATCTTTTTAATCGTAGTTATTATATCAGTCAATACCTAATAACTTTATTTGTACAGTACTATGAAGAAAGAAAGACCGTGACGGAGGATATTGTGGATAAGTGTAGATCTGGTGACGACAAACATATCTAACCTTATGCCCTCAGCCACTGGTGTGTAAAACATTAATAATTAATCATGTCTAATATGTTAGTATGTCAAAAGCAATTTTGCATATCATCTACACATTAGATATTATACTAAAATATTAAATATGATATATAGTTAAGGTATTTTTAAATAATGCCTTGAGGAGTATTGCACTTGAAAATTGAATACTTAGAATTATTTAGTAATAGAATTAATGGAGAATGCCAGAAATAAAAGAACAATTATATAATCTCAAAATAATGAGTATTGGGAATACGTATTCCAGGAGTGAAGAAGCAATATAAATAAAGCACTTGGGGATCGAGTGGATATTGCAAGCATCATTCCAGAAGATGTGTGAAGTAGAAATCTCTTTATATATAGTAAACTATTAGTATTATCAATGAAGCTCCTGGCAAATGTGCAGTATCAATCGCTGCAAAAAAAGGTCTTCCTTTACAAAGAATCGACGAAGAATGCACAATCATTAGAAGGTGCAGTTATATATGAAATTATTTAGTATCTGGAAAGAAATAGAAAAAACATATTGATTAGATTCAAGTAAATATATTACATAAATATATTGGAGAGTAATGTTACTATTTGCACATTTCAAAATCTGTGTTAAATATAGTTTGATTTTTATATAATGCTATATAGGCTTCATACACCTTAACATTTTTTGCATACATTTATTTCACTATGACTATGAAAAAAATGATAATTTGTGGTTGGTTTGTGGTTGCCTATAGATGTTGTCCTTGTTAAATATTACTAATAGATATTATAAGTATGCTTTCAAGAGTTAATGCTCACTCAAGGCTTTTTTAAATAATGATATGCAATAATGATACTGAAGGAAATTACACGTAACCAATACCAACCAGGAATATCTTGGTCATATAGGTATTTGCAATTGAGATAGTATTGTAAATATCCTTATACGTTATTGACAAGTTAATTATTTAATATCTTGAGCTATATCAAATTTATAGTATTCCAAATCTTTTTATATGTCAACCATTAACATTGATTTGATTAAAAACAAAAAAAAAAAAAAAAAAAGAAACTCAATATGAATATAAATGTAAAAATAAATTATCAATTTAGAAGAAATTTATAGGCTTGTCTAACTCTATAGGGCAGCAGAAGGGTGGGGCGACTATGCCCAGTAATGAAGAATGTGGAATACGAGATGTCTGGGGACACAATTTAGAGGAGGAATTTCGTACAATTCGACAAGTTGTGCAGCAATATCAATATATTGCTATGGACACAGAATTTCCTGGTGTAGTAGCAAGGCCTATTGGTAAGACAGTTAAATCATTAATAACCATCTGATATTCTGTATTTAAGAAAAATATTTTTAAATTATAATATTTTAAAAGGCGAATTTAGAACAAGCGCCGATTACCAGTACCAATTGCTACGATGCAACGTAGATCTTTTGCGAATAATACAACTTGGTCTCACGTTCCTCGATGAATCGGGTAATACGCCAGGTGGTAGTTACACAACGTGGCAGTTCAATTTCAAATTTAATTTACAGTAAGAATTCAACTTTCTAACGATTGTAAATATTTTATCTAAGTGAAAGCGTTAAATAATTGTATATTTGTATATTTCTTTTAGGGAAGACATGTATGCACAAGATAGTATAGATATGCTACAAAATAGTGGCATACAATTTAAAAAACACGAAGAAGAGGGTATTGACCCGTTAGATTTTGCTGAACTGTTAATGACATCAGGGATTGTCCTTGTCGACGATATTAAATGGCTGTCTTTTCATTCTGGTTACGATTTTGGATATCTATTAAAACTACTTACTGATCAAAACTTGCCGCAGGAGGAAAGTGAATTTTTTGAACTTCTTAGGATATATTTTCCAACCATATATGATGTAAAAGTGAGTAGAATTAAATCGTCTCTCTAATAGTTAATTTTTAGAATCCTAGAAATAATGAATTTATTTTTGTTATCTAGTACTTAATGAAATCCTGCAAAAACTTGAAAGGTGGTCTTCAAGAAGTAGCGGAACAACTGGAAATACAAAGAGTCGGTCCACAGCATCAAGCTGGATCTGACTCTCTTCTTACTGGAATGGTCTTTTTTAAAATGCGAGAGGTATTTTATCATTTTAAGAAATATTCCATTTGAATGAAGATTTCTTTTTTAGAAAAATCATTTTTACGTTTATTTATTTTTTTGTTTATTGGCAATTTTAGATGTTTTTCGAGGACAACATCGACGATGCAAAATATTGTGGTCATTTATACGGTTTGGGAACGTCATTTGTCGTAAATGGTTCTGGAGGATATATGGACAGTAATGGGGATAATTCTTCCTCTTCGTAATGTTAAAACTTGCTCCATCGCAATTGCAACAGATTATTTCATTGCATTAAAAATAAAATATTACAAAAGATCCTTTCACTTACTGAACGGGCATCTAGTTCATATCCACATTATAATATTCAAAGATCACCATTGTAGATTACAGATTATTATTGACTAATACGAAAATCTAGGTGCATTTTGTTTAAATTTGTGAATTTTTTTGTATCCTTTAATTCATGCAATTTTCGTAGCTTTATTCTGTGATACATAGAATCGGTCGAAAAAAAAAAAAATGTTTATCATATCGTGCAACATAAAAGAAAATGTAATATAGCTTCTTTATAAACATTTGTGAGAATATTGATATAGAAGATACAGTTGCAGTACAAAAATGACTCGCATTTCCTTCTATTTTTAAGACTTTTATAGATTCCTTGACTATTTTGGTAAGCTGTGGAAAGAATACTTCAAGAATCGGGCAGTGATAACGCTACGTGTCAACTTTTTCAGCGTGTTTAAGTGTAACGATCTACTTTCAGTAGATGTATTTATTATATAAATATGCATTTGTAGTTACGTTACATTTTTATCCTGAGTAATTCTTTATAAATACAATAACATACAATTAATTTCCTCTATTAAATTATCATCTAATTCGCGATTTCATTATAGATCGTATTGAGACCAGTTATAATTAACTTACAGGGACTGTAGTTTTCCTACGTATTCATTACTTTTTCGGATAAAAAACAATGTTATTAACAAAATCATTCTTAACGATCGACGAATCTTTACCGATTATGTACGTATGTGTTCATTAATGCATACTACACGTTTTATTGTAAAACTCGTTACCTGCAAAGAGAATAAAACAAAACTTTGGTACTTTTCCAAATCGATCGTACATAAAGATTTTTCTTTTTGTAAATATTATTATACAATTTCAGGCATTTAAATAAATTTCACGTCTGATAATTCACTGCTATGTCCATTAATTTATCTCGATTTAAACATAGATATGTGTATGTGTAATCCTAAGAGATAACAGACAAAAATTACTACGACTAGAAGATTGTAGAACTAAAAATATATATCGATGATATATATGGTATAATTATTTTTTCGAATTATCAGGAATTTTCCAATTTATTAATAATTTTTCAAATATATTACTCAAGATTACATTAAATATTTTTAGATTATGATCAAATGAGAAATATCATCAAATAACCGATTGAAAAAAAAAAAGATTTGATAGTATTTTCACTTTCAACAATAAGTAGGGCATACCGATCCCTTCCTTTTTCTTAGTTTGAACGATACGTTTAATGTACCTGCTCGTAGTAAGATAACTGTACGTTATCATAGAAGAGTCGATGATATCAGGAACGTTATCACAACTCGTTACCCGAATCTCAGTACAGTATCGTTTCGTTTAGTAGACTATTTTGTTCGTTTAAGTTGCGCTCACCGAAAAATGCAGGTTCGAGCGTCGCGGTTTCAAGGTGTTTTGAACCCATGCAAATTAACAACGATAACGATTCATCTCTATGTTTTCGCGATATTGTTAAGTGGGATCAATGCACAAACGGAAAATGAGACTTTCGAGAGTGCTTTTGGACTGAACGTTCCTGAATCAACGGAGAACAAAGATTACGTAGCTGCGACAGAAGAGAAGAAATCGGTTCCTTCCGAATTGGAGGATCTTGCAGGAAGCAATAAAAATGAAATTGAGACAATTGAGGGAAAGCCCGATACCGAACT